ACCCATACCCATATCCATACACATACCCCCATACCCACACCCATACCCACACCATACACATACCATACACATACCCATACCCATACCCACACCCATACCCATACCCATAAGCATGGTAGTGATGTCCACGCCCATGGTCATGTGAATGCGCATGAGATGAGATGAACCGTCTTACCCAGCACTGTGATGCCCACTGAAAGGTCTTGTATGGAGTGTGCATGCCATCCCCCCTCCTCCCCATGCACATGCCCATGGTCATGGCCGTGACCAAGACCATGTGAGTGGGAGTCATGCCCATGCGCATGCTCATGCGCATGGCCATGGTCATGTGAATGCACTTGAGACCACATTAACAGTCATACCCAGCACTGCGATGCCGACTGAAAGGTCTTCAATGGAGTGCGCATGCCCTCCTCCCCCCTCCTCATGGCCATGGTCATGCCCGTGGTCATGTGAATGGGACTCATGCCCATGTCCATGTGGATGTGCATGCCCATGGTCATGTGACTGGGTGTGGTTGTGGGAATGCGATCCGCTGCCTGCAATGATGGCATAGCGGGGATGGGGTTCAACATGGCAACGAAAGGGGAGATTTTGAGAGGCAGACGTGAATTTTGAGTTGATGGGGTGAGGGGGAAAAGAGGTGAGGGGGGAAAGAGGTGAGGGGGAAAAGAGGTGAGGGGGGAAAGAGGTGAGGCGGAAAAGAGGTGAGGGAGAAAAGAGGTGAGGGGGAAAAGAGGTGAGGGGGAAAAGAGGTGAGGGAGAAAAGAGGTGAGGGGGAAAAGAGGTGAGGGGAAAAGAGGTGAGGGGGAAAAGAGGTGAGGGGGAAAAGAGGTGAGGGGAAAAGAGGTGAGGGGGAAAAGAGGTGAGGGGAAAAGAGGTGAGGGAGAAAAGAGGTGAGGGGGAAAAGACGAGGTGAGGAGGCCGAGGAAGTGAGGGAGGGAGGGAAGGAGGAGGAAGGGAGGGAGGGAGGCAAGCAAGCGCACCGAAGGCATGTGGCAACTGATGCAGGAACGCGTCTCCTAGCATGGCTCCAGCCTGCAGACAATCGTGCGAGGTGGGTGGGAGGGTAGGGGAGGAGGGGGAGCATTTGAGACGACTCAGCAGCGCACCGAAGGCATGTGGCAGATGATGAAGGAAGGCGCCTCCCAGCATGGCTCCAGCCTGCAGGACAATGGTGGAAAGAGGGGAAGGGGGGAGGAGAAGGGATGGGGGGAATAGGATGGCTTTCAGCACTTGCAGGCAATAAGAGATAGGTGCCTGCAGGCAGCGTGGGGAGGGGCCGTTCACCCCTGAAGCTGCCAGGCCATTAAACAGCGCCCGGGGAAGCTTGCCCTTGCCCTAGACTGTAGAGATAAGCGCACACTCACTCACTCACCCACTCACTCACCCACTCACTCACTCAATCAATAACTCGCTCTCACTCACTCACCCACTCACTCACTCAATCAATAACTCGCTCTCACTCACCCACTTACTCACTCACTCACTCACTCAATCACTCAATCACTCACCCACCCACCCACCCACCCACTCACTCACCCCAAATGCAGCCAGGCCGTCAACCAGCGCCCGGGGAAGCTTGCCCTTGTCTGCAGCAGAGAGAGGCACCCAGGGGGGTGGTGGAACGACAAAGGCGGGTTGAGGGTGAGCAGTGGAATGAGAAAGGGCGGGTGCATGTGAGTGGCGGAATGGGAAAAGAAGAGCGACAGTAGAGTGCAAACAGCGTCCTCCTCACTGTGCAAACAGTGTGGAGGGCTTGCTGTCGAAAGAGCCACCGCCGAGTGCAAATGGTGGCTGGCAGCAGAAAGAACTCACAGCAGACGAGGGGCAGCAGGGTGAGGCAGATGAGGGAGCAAGAGAAGAAAAGGTGAGGGCGAGCTACGGAGAAGGTCCTGGGGCTACTCTTCTTGGGCTACTCGTAGCCTACTCATACTCACAGCAGACGAGGGGCAGCAGGGTGAGGCAGATGAGGGAGCAGAGCGAAACAACGAGAGCACTGCCCATAGCCTCCAGCCAGATGGCTGCAGAGGGAGACAGGAAGAAAACGGACGGACCAGCAGCAACAAGGGGGAGGAACGGACAGCAACAAGCGAGGGTCATGGGAAACTGTGGAAGGGAGACGATGCGAGCGCTGCCCATAGCCTCCAGCCAGATGGCTGCAGAGGGAGCCCGGAAGAAAAGGACGGACCAGCAGCAACAAGGGGGAGGAACGGACAGCAATAAGGAGGGTCATGGGAAACAGTGGAAGGGAGGCGATGCGAGCGCTGCCCCATAGCCTCCAGCCAGATGGCTGCAGAGGGAGACCGGAAGAAAAGGACGGACCAGCAGCAACAAGGGGGAGGAACAGACAACAACAAGGGAGGGTCATGGGAAAACAGTGGAAGGGAGACGATGCGAGGGCTGCCCATAGCCTCCAGCCAGATGGGGCAGAGGGAGACTGGAAGAAAAGGACGGACCAGCAGCAACAAGGGGGAGGAACGGACAGCAACAAGGGAGGGTCATGGGAAACAGTGGAAGGGAGACGATGCGAGCGCTGCCCATAGCCTCCAGCCAGATGGCTGCAGAGGGAGACCGGAAGAAAAGGACGGACCAGCAGCAACAAGGGGGGAGGAACGGACAGCAACAAGGGAGGGTCATGGGGAAACAGTGGAAGGGAGACGATGCGAGCGCTGCCCATAGCCTCCAGCCAGATGGCTGCAGAGGGAGACAGGAAGAAAAGGACGGACCAGCCAGCAACAAGGGGAGGAACGGACAGCAACAAGGGAGGGTCATGGGAAACAGTGGAAGGGAGACGATGCGAGCGCTGCCCATAGCCTCCAGCCAGATGGCTGCAGGAGGGAGACCGGAAGAAAAGGACGGACCAGCAGCAACAAGGGGGAGGAACGGACAGCAACAAGGAGGGTCATGGGAAACAGTGGGAAGGGAGACGATGCGAGCGCTGCCCATAGCCTCCAGCCAGATGGCTGCAGAGGGAGACAGGAAGAAAAGGACGGACCAGCAGCAACAAGGGGGAGGAACGGACAGCAACAAGGGAGGGTCATGGGAAACAGTGGAAGGGAGACGATGCGAGCGCTGCCCATAGCCTCCAGCCAGATGGCTGCAGAGGGAGACCGGAAGAAAAGGACGGACCAGCAGCAACAAGGGGGAGGAACGGACAGCAACAAGGGAGGGTCATGGGAAACAGTGGAAGGGAGACGATGCGAGCGCTGCCCATAGCCTCCAGCCAGATGGCTACTTGGGGTGGGCGGATTGGGGGATCAGGGGAGGGAATGTGAAGAGCATCAATGAGAAGGAAGGGGCAGAGGGGAGATAAGACAATCCGAACAACAGCTTAGTAGTGAGGGAAATGCCAGGCATCCGGCCATAGGGCTGGAAGGGTGAGGATTGGAGGGGTTGGGGTGGGGAGGAGAGGGAGGGTCAGTATCATGAGGTGAGAGGCTCACCTAGCAGCTTCTGGTTCAGAGCTCATCTAGTAGGGCCTTACCTAGCAGCTTCTGGTCCATGGGCCAGATTGTCCTGTCGCCTCCCAGTCCTCCTCCTCCTCCTCGTCCTCCTCTTCTTCCCTCAACGCCCTCTCCTCCGCCTCCTCCTCTGGGTGCCTGAACCCCGCTGCTCTCTCTGCTGCCTGCGCCTTGCCCTTCACCTTCTGCCCTGCTGCGTGGGAGTGGTGGTGGTGATGCTGATGATGATGCCCATGGTCCTTCGCATGTGTCCATGCCCATTCGCATGCCCATGGTCATGATCATGATCATGATCATGCCCATTGCATGTGGATGTGCTCATCTGCATGCTCTTTGGAATTGTGGGATGGGAAGGAATGGGGAGGTGGGATTTTGGGAGAGAAAGGGAGAGAACAAGGCGTGTCAGAGGTCCAGAGGAAGCAAATCCGCATGCTTCTGAGACATTTCTGTGGCTTCAGAATGCGATCTAAGCTTCACACGGTTGAACATGCAATTTCAGTGCTCCAAGTTGCAATTTCACGGCGCATTCAGGAAGCGATTTCAGTGACCATGGATGCTATTTCATTGCCTAGGATGCAAAATCAGTTCTTCAGAATGATATATTAAAACGCCTCCGATTTCACTTTACTTTATTTTGCAAGACGCACCTATATCTTCCCACGAGGAAATCCCACCAGCGCCACCACCATGCATGTGATCATGATGGTCATGGTCATGGGAATGACCATGGGAGTGACCATGGCTGTGGCTGCACTGTGCTGACGCGATCTCTGACGTCATCACAAGCGAAACCACCAGTGCGAAAATCGCGACTAGAGGCAGGAGGAAACATTTGGTCGCCATCGGGTGCAATAACCGGTTGAAACTTCGGGATAACGTTCGCTAGCTACAAAGGCGAGGTGGACTTTAGCGAATTGCGGGAAACCGTGCAGGAACTTCGCGATCTCTATCGGAGCGGGACACGTGCGTCTGTGACACGCGTGGCGCGTGAGAGCACGGCCTGGTAAGAGATCGGCTGTCGCATTTCCCGCACCCTAAAATGGATTAGTGTGAGTCAGAAAATGGGAATGGAGAAATTATTTCATTTGCGGGAGGATTGTGGGAAATGGGATGGCATGCCGCTTCTCGTGCTGCATAAACATTCGCTCTCAGGGAGTGTTCGCAATGACGACACTTGACGAAAATATAACGCGATTTGTTGGGCAGTTGGGCCAGAACGTGCAATTTACAAATTTCGAGGCTAGACAAGCCCGGAAAGGCTTTCCCGCGGATATGGAGTACGCTTCTGGGCACACGTAACTCGCGGAAAATGAAGATGAAAGCCGAACTCCGAATTGGAAACGGGGTTCAGCAAGCCTTGAAATTGGTTCAGTAACAGGGGCTACGCAGCGAATTCTGGCGAACAGCCTTTAGGGCAAGCGAGGCCTCGCGTAGCGATCACGAAACTGGTACTCTCTCCTCTTGTCCTAGCCAGATAATCAGTTCCTCCTATGCCATAAGCATATAACTGGTCGCATAGGCCATTTTCCCTTTCCGAGCTCCCGATTGTTGCTCCTTATGCGTCCCGCTCTTGCTCATCCGTTACCGTAGGGGAGTCACGTCGATAGCTCAGAGTCGCGGCGTGACCTACCCTAGATTCCGGCGTCGAGCTTCGACGCCGGCTGAGCCAGGGTGTCTCACGACGAGCCAGCGTGTCTCACGGCGCTGAATCAGCGTTGTGGTAGCGATGGCGGGATATGAGCCTCCGCCGTTTAGAGACGGTAGCAGCGGGCGATCAGGCAGCACGGATCTGCACACCGATCTGTACGCGTTATTGCACGTCTCGCGGGACGCGTCTGACGATGAGCTGAAACGCGCGTATCGCCAGCTCGCTTCGGTGTACCACCCTGACAAGTACCCCTTTCCGCAGGTACTAGTGGCAAATACCCCAGCGCCGTCCCACATAGGGAAGCTTCAGTAAAGGGGGGGTTTTTATCTGTAACGGGGCATTAGATACGTCCTTACTGAGAATCTTTCTTCCTCACTTCGTCTACCCATGCACCGTCCCACATAGGTAAGCTTCAGTAAAGGGGGAGGTTTTTATCTGTAGCGGGGCGTCAGACACGTCTCTACTGAGTGAATTCTTCTCCCTCGCCTCGACTTCCCTTCGCTCTCTTCGCCAAGGAATAATCCTCGTTATCCGCTCTCCTCGTTACGTGTTACAGATGCAAGATGTCGCCAAGGATCACTTTCAGCGGATCCGATCCGCCTACGAGGTTTTGTCCGACCCGGCCAAGAGGCAGGTACGTGGAAAGCCGTATTTTTTGCCTTGATGCTTCTTGCGTGTATGTTTAAGAACAACTGTTAAAGGATAATTGGACCCATTCACACGGTTTGGTCCGAACAAGGCTGTGTCAAAACCAGTGGTTAAGGGGGAGGGTCCAAGGGCGTGGTGTTTCGTGGGTGTTTTAATGGAAGTTAGGAGCTCGGCCATGGTGTTAGCAGCTCGGCCATGGGGTTAGCAGCTCGGCCATGGGGTTAGCAGCTCGGTCATGGGGTTAGCAGCTCGGCCATGGGGTTAGCAGCTCGGCCATGGGGTTAGCAGCTCGGCCATGGGGCTAGCAGCTCGGCCATGGGGTTAGCAGCTCGGCCATGGGGTTAGCAGCTCGGCCATGCGGTTAGCAGCTCGGCCATGGGGTTAGCAGCTCGGCCATGGGGCTAGCAGCTCGGCCATGCGGTTAGCAGCTCGGCCATGGAGCTAGGCCCGCACCTGCGGACGAGGCAGGAGATACGGGAGGAGTGAGCGCAGAGGGCAATTGAGGGTGCGTTATTGGCCCCCTTGTCCCCCCCGGCCGAACAAGCAGGTGTATGACCTGTACGGCATTGAGGGCGTGGTGTCAGGCATGGAGCTAGGCCCACACCTGCGGACTCCTCCCCCAATGAGACATGTCCCCCTTCCCCCCCTCTTCCCCCCTCCCTATATGACAGGTGTATGACCTGTACGGCATAGAGGGCGTGGTGTCGGGCATGGAGCTAGGCCCACACCTGCGCACGAGGCAGGAGATACGGGAGGAGTGGGGCGGGCGCAGAGGAGGAGGGAGGAGCTGAAAGCGGCGATGCGCACCCAGCACTCGTCCTCCATGCTGCTGTCTGTCACTGCTGCTGATGCCCTGGCGTCAGGATTTCAACGCTTCCCCAGAATCACAGGGTATGATCTGAACCCCAAACCAAACCCTGAATCAAATGGTAGGATTTGAACCCATAACCTTGAATCATAGGGACTAATTCAAACCGCTCACCTTAAATCACAGGGTATGATCTGAACCCCAAAACCTGAGTCATGTGGTATGATTTGAACCCTCAACCCCAAACCCTCCCTGCTTGGTTTTGGGGTTCTGCCATTTTAACCATGTTCTCCCCCTCCCCTCCCTCCCCTCCCCTCCTTGTATCAGCATGCAGATGTCAATGCAGAAGGTGCAGGCAGCGCTATCAGCCAAGGACACTCTTGTCCTGGGCGGCTCCATGCCCTTTCTTCTCCTCTCACCTCCCCCCTCCCGTGCTTCCACTTTCTCCCCCTCTCCCCTCCTCCTCCCCCAACCAACACCTTTCAGTATGCAGATATCAACGCAGGTGCAGGCAGGCAAGGGGCGGCTGGTCCTGGGCGGCTCGATGCTCATGAGGTACATGGCAGGGAGGCTCCATGCCCTCCTCACGGCCTCTTGTGCCCCCTTCTGGCCCCCCCCACCCTCGACCCCTCCCAGTATGCACATGTCAACGCAGGTCCAAGCGGTGCTACCAGACACGCTGCTCCCCCGGGCGGCTCCATGCTCCCCTCCTCCTCTTCACTCATCTCCTTCCCTGCCCTTCCCCTCCTTTTGTTCCCCCCTGTCTCCCCTCTGCACAACCCCCTCCCAGTATGCACATGTCAACCCAAGTCCAAGCGGCGCTATCCGACAAGGACACGTTAGTCCTGGGCGGCTCCATGCTCATGAGGCGCGTGGCGGGGGCGGCTCCATGGTGGCGGTGTTTCGCAGACAGATGGATGCATACCAGACGGCCGAGCTGGTGGCAGTTGTTGGGATTCGAACCCAGCTCACTCTGTCTACTGCACGGTACGCACTCAGGGCTCATGGGCTCATGGGCTCATGGGCTCATGGGCTCGTGGGCTCATGGGCTCATGGGCTCATGGGTTCATTGGTGCCTTGATGGGACCTCATGGGGTTGCAAATGGGGGGCGCCTCCATGGTGGCTCTGTTTAGAAGGCAGATGGGTGCATGCTGGACGGCACGGCTGAACTCGTGGCGGTGGGGGATCCGCACGCAGCTCACTCTGTCTACTGCGCGGTGAGGAGGCTATTTTTTAGGCGCCTCAAAAGTAGACTCCTCAGCTCACTCAGTCTACTGCCGGGTGAGTTTTGAGGGACGCGCTGGTGCTGGGAGGCTCCAGAGTGGCTGTGCTTAGAAGGTTTTTGAGGCGCCTCAAAAAAAGTGGCTGAGCTTAGAAGGCAGATGGGTGGGTGGGTGCATGCATGCCAGACGATGGAGCTGGTGGCAGAATCGGGGATTCGCTCCCAGGCAGCCCACTCTTTTTGAGGCGCCTCAAAAATCGCACCCAGGCAGCCCACTCTCTCCACTGCGTGATAAGGTCTTAGTGTGCTCATGAGACGCGTGCCTGTGGGAGGCTAGGCCACTGCTGGCCGTCCGTTATCCTCCTGCTGCTTCTGGCCCTGCTTTGCTCTTCTCCGTTATTTTTACCTCTCCTGTTACGTCCTCTCCTACCTCTCTCATGTGCAGACAAGTGTCGCCGTCCGTGAAGGCGACGGCAGGGGTGACGTGGCATGCTGATGATGGCTCGCTGTCATTGGCCAATTCGTGGACGTCCCAGATCACAGAATCCACTGCAGCATCTGTACGTACAGCGGCTTCCTCTCTTGCTTCCTTCTTCTCCTTACTTCTCACTTCGTACGTTGGAGATTTTAGGGGGGGGGGTAAGAGCTTTTCATACAGTTTTAAGAGCTTTTCATACAGTTTTAAGAGCCTTTCATACAGTTTTAAGAGCTTTTCATACAGTTTCAAGAGCTTTTCATACAGTTTAAGAGCTTTTCATACAGTTTTAAGAGCTTATCATACAGTTTTAAGAGCTTTTCATACAGTTTTAAGAGCTTTTCATACAGTTTTAAGAGCTTTTCATACAGTTTAAGAGCTTCTCATACAGTTTTAAGAGCTTTTCATACAGTTTTAAGAGCTTTTCATACAGTTTTCAAGAGCTTTTCATACAGTTTCAAGAGCTTTTCTTATGCATGAACTTTTCCGAGATTGGATTTTCTGCTGCATCTGTACAATTATTCACTTTCTCTCACCCTCCATCTGCCTGCTATAATGCTATTAGACCGTTTGGGGGGCATTCACGTCTCCCTCCTGCCACTCGTCCGCCTTTTGTGCAGATTAACATTGCTTTAGGAGTGGATGGAGGTGCTTGTTGTGCTTCTCGAATCAAAACGAAGTTGGTGTTTTCCAACAGATTAGTCTTGAATTTTTTCCCAAATGCGATGTTTTGCTATGTCATCCCTTGTGCAGATCAACATTGGGTTGGGAGCCGATGGAGGTGCAGGAGTGGGGTGGCACACACAAAAGGACAAGAATAATTTCAATGCAGAGCTTAAAGTAAGAATTTTAGTACATTTATAAGCGCCTTTCAGTACACTTGTCAGAGTTTTATGGTGGCCATGCTTTTTAGGACAAACATCAATGGGAGCCTTTTATTGAAAACGTATCAACATCTCCCCTCGTTGCTGAACAGTGACCCTTCCCGCCTCTCCCCTTTCCCCTCTCCTTCGTCACCCTTCCCGCTTTCCCCCTTCCCCTTTCCCTCTTTCACCCTTTCTCCCCTTCCCCCTGCCCCCTTTCCCCTTTGCCCATTCCCCCTGCCCCATTCCCGCCTTCCGCTGCCCATCAGGTGGGAGCAGGTTTGTCCTCAGGGGCCTCACAGCGACCTTCGTCAGAAGGTTCTCAGAACATTCATCAGGGAGAATACACGGCAGGCTGGGAACGTGAGTGTGGTTGTGGGGGATTCTGTATAACTATACGTGGTGCTGGTGTTGTGTGTGTAGCTACATTTGTATGGGATTGAGCGGGATTGATGAGATTGGCTTGTTTTCTATTTCCAGCACTATACAATACAAGTGACAGTGTAACAGGGACAGGTCCCCCTCCCCCCCTCTCTCCCCTCTCCCCCCTCTCTCCCCCTCTCCCCCTCTCTCCCCCTCTCTCCCCTCTCTCCCCTCTCCCCCCTCTCCCCCTCTCTCCCCTCTCTCCCCCTCTCTTCTCCTATTTCCCCCGTGCCTCCTCTCTCCCCCCATCAGCACAGGAGCAGACGTGGAGGTGGGTGGCAGCAGGAAGATATCGGACAACAGCTCTTTGGGGTTCTTTGTCACCATGGGGCTCCAGGTGAGGTGGTGCCAAGGCTGGTAGTATGGGCATGTGTTGGTGGTGGGGTGGGTATGTGTGTGCGATATGTGCACATGAGAACATGAGTCATGCATGTGCATGTGCGTATGTGCATGTGCGTATGTGCATGTGTGCATATGTGAATGCCAGGCCACACCCAACCTGCCTGGAATAGAATCCAATGCTTCCCAGCCACATCATCCCACTCCACCTTGCCCCATTTCACCCCACCCCACTCCCTGTCATCCCCCCTTGCAGGGCACACTATGGAAGGTTCGCTACTCTCGAGGCGGCCAGAAGGTCACTGTGCCTGTAAGTGTGGCGGTGCTACTATCGGTTTCCTCTCTTTACTTCCTCCACATCTTTTTCGCAACAAGAATAGTGAGTGTGTGTGTGGGGGGAGGGAGTAAACCTATTGTCCATTCTCAATGTCAGGAGAAAACTTTTGAGGCACCTCAAAAGTGTGTGTGTGGGGGAGGAGGGAGTAAACCTATTTTCCATTCTCAATGCCAGGAGAATTAGTGCCGCAACCACTATTTCTCCTGGCATTGAAGAAAATATTTTAGTGGTTGTGGGGATTTATTATTTCTCCTGACATTGGGGAAATATTCCGAGTGAGGATTTATTGTTTTTCCTGACATTGCAGAAATGTTCAGTGGGTGGTGGGGGTTCCCACTATTTTTCCTGGCATTGGACCCCCCCCCCATTTTCTTCTTTCTCTTCCTCCCTCCCTTAACCCTCCCCTCTCCCCCAACCCCCCCTCCCCCACCCTCACCGCTTTTCCCATCTCCCCCCCTACAGGCTACACCCCAATGTCTATTCCCTTCCCTCTTCCCCGCCTCTCTCTTTTTCCCGTGCAAATTCTTCTCCCTCCCACTCTGCAACCAGCCATCTGTGCTCCAACGCGCCTCATACCGTTTGTCACACACCACTTTCTCTCTTCCCCTCCCTCACCCCTCCCCCCATCCCCCCCTCCCTCCCCTCAACTCCAGATTCTCCTCTCCCCCACTCTACGACCAGCCATCAGCGTTCCGGCCATTCTCATTCCCTCGGTCACATACGCTGTCCTTAAGGTACTTATAGAGAAACCAACTACTCCTAAACACGATTCTCCCAAATATTCTTAAGCTGTTGTTGCTGCTGCCTTCCGCCTCACTCCTACCTTCCCCAACCCAACCTAACCCTTCACACAAACCGTCTCCCCCTTGAATTGCATCCCATCCCACCCGCCTCTGCATAGTGTACATTTTTAGACATCTCAAAAACATCCGTCCCACCCGCTTCTGCATGATATACATGAACTCGTACTCTTACTCAACGGGGGCCAATTTCAGCCTCTCTTATACTGCAGCATTGGGTGTTCGTCCAATGGAAGCACACAGATCTGAGAGGCTCGGCAGGACAGGAAGGTTTGGAGGCGCCTCAAAACTATACAGGAAGGTTCGGCAAGTATTGCTGTGCACCTGCTCCCATACCTTTCCATCTCTCCCCACCCTCCCCTCTTCCCTTCCCCCCGCAATCCTCGCCCCATGCCTCCACTCCAGCATTGGGTGTTCAGCCGGTGGAAACAGATCCGGGAGGCTCGGCAGGACCGGGAGGTTCGGCAGAAGTCAGCTAAGCAGGTCTGGGAGTCCATGGCTGAGGCTCGGCAGCTCCAGGACATGATGACCCCGGTGGTAACCAGACGGGTAACCGCGTTACAGCAGCGGCAAAACGGCAACGCTCTGATGATCATATCGGCGAAATACGGACGCCTGGGAGGAGCTGGGGGGGAAGGAGAGAGGGAGAGTCGAAACGAGAGCACGAATAGTGGCAATGGCAGTGGCAGTGGGGTAGTGGTAGTGGTAGTGGTGGTGGTAGTGGTGGGAGGGAAGGGGAAGGGAGAAGAGCTGCATCTGGAATTGGCTCGATGTTTGAGAGAATAGGCGGGCTGCTCAGGAGAGGTTTGGGAGGAATCGGAGGGGGAGGAGGAGGAGGAGAGGAGGGAGTGGGTGGGAGTGAGAATGAGGGTTGGGATGAGGATGAGTGGGAGGAGGGGGAGGGGGGAGGCGAGAGGTGGTGCTGCCTCCTGCAGTTTGGGATGTGCGCATTCCGCTGCAATTCCTTGTTGATGATGCCAGCAACACACTACAGGTGCGTGCGAGGTGCTTGCGCTGCTCCTCTGTGCGTGAGTATGGGATGAAGATGAGTGGGAGCGGAGAGCGTGGTGCTGCGTACCTCCTGCAGTGTGGGATGTGCGCATTCCACTGCAATTCCTTGTCGATGATGCAAGCAACACGCTGCAGGTGAGTGTCTGAGTGTGTATGTGTGTATGGGTGATGAGTTAGTGTGCGCATGTACGTGCATATCTGCATGTATGCATCTTCGCATTCTTCTCTTTCTCCTCCCCTGCTACCCAAGCCAGTGAGCAGGAAAGGCGATGCTCAACCCTGTGCTAAGACTGCTCCGGATCCCAGCGCCCAATGGACTGCTCGGGTCCCAGCGCCCAATGGACTGCTCTGGATCCCAGCGCCCAATGGACTGCTCGGGATCCCAGCGCCCGATGGACTGCTCGGGATCCCAGCGCCCAATGGACTGCTCGGGATCCCAGCGCCCAATGGACTGCTCGGGATCCCAGCGCCCTATGGACTGCTCGGATCCCAGCGCCCTATGGACTGCTCGGGGTCCCAGCGCCCATGGACTGCTCGGGATCCCAGCGCCCGGACTGCTCGGGATCCCAGCGCCCGCTGGACTGCTCGGGATCCCAGCGCCCAATGGACTGCTCGGGGCCCCAGCGCCCAATGGACTGCTCGGGATCCCAGCGCCCGATGGACTGCACGGGATCCCAGTGCCCGATGGACTGCTCGGGATCCCAGCGCCCTATGGACTGCGCGGGGCCCCAGCGCCCAATGGACTGCTCGGGATCCCAGCGCCCTATGGACTGCTCGGGATCCCAGCGCCCGATGACTGCTCGGGATCCCAGCGCCCTATGGACTGCTCCGGGTCCCAGCGCCAAATGGACTGCTCGGGATCCCAGCGCCCGCTGGACTGCTCGGGATCCCAGCGCCCGATGGACTGCTCGGGATCCCAGCGCCCAATGGACTGCTCGGGCCCCAGCGCCCAATGGACTGCTCGGGATCCCAGCGCCAATGGACTGCTCGGGATCCCAGTGCCCGATGGACTGCTCGGGGGTCCCAGCGCCCAATGGACTGCGCGGGGCCCAGCGCCCTATGGACTGCTCGGGATCCCAGCGCCAAATGGACTGCTCGGGGTCCCAGCGACCAATGGACTGCTCGGGATCCCAGCACCCGATGGACTGCTCGGGATCCCAGCGCCCAATGGACTGCTCGGGGTCCCAGCGCCAAATGGACTGCGCGGGCCCCAGCGCCCAATGGACTGCTCGGGATCCCAGCGCCCGATGGACTGCTCGGGATCCAGCGCCCAATAGACTGCTCGGGATCCCAGCGCCCGATGGACTGCTCGGGATCCCAGCGCCCTATGGACTGCTCGGGTCCCAGCGCCAATGGACTGCCGGGATCCCAGCGCCCATGGACTGCTCGGGATCCCAGCGCCGCGACTGCTCGGGATCCCAGCGCCCGATGGACTGCTCGGGATCCCAGCGCCCATGGACTGCTGCGGGCCCAGCGCCCAATGGACTGCTCGGGATCCCAGCGCCCGATGGACTGCTCGGGATCCCAGTGCCCGATGGACTGCTCGGGATCCCAGCGCCCTATGGACTGCGCGGGCCCCAGCGCCCAATGGACTGCTCGGGATCCCAGCGCCCGATGGACTGCTCGGGATCCCAGCGCCCTATGGACTGCTCGGGATCCCAGCGCCCGATGCACTGCTCGGGATCCCAGCGCCCGATGGACTGCTCGGGATCCCAGCGCCCAAAGACTGCTCGGGATCCCAGCCGAATGGACTGCTCGGGATCCAGCGCCCTATGGACTGCTCGGGGTCCCAGCGCCAAATGGACTGCCGGGATCCCAGCGCCCATGGACTGCTCGGGATCCCAGCGCCCGCTGGACTGCTCGGGATCCCAGCGCCCGATGGACTGCTCGGGATCCAGCGCCCAATGGACTGCTCGGGGCCCCAGCGCCCAATGGACTGCTCGGGATCCCAGCGCCCGATGGACTGCTCGGGATCCCAGCCCGATGGACTGCTCGGGATCCCAGCGCCCTATGGACTGCCGGGCCCAGCGCCCAATGGACTGCTCGGGATCCCAGCGCCCGATGGACTGACTGCTCGGGATCCCAGCGCCCTATGGACTGCTCGGGATCCCAGCGCCCATGGACTGCTCGGGATCCCAGCGCCCTATGGACTGCTCGGGGTCCCAGCGCCCAAATGGACTGCTCGGGGTCCCAGCGCCCATGGACTGCTCGGGATCCCAGCGCCCGATGGACTGCTCGGGATCCCAGCGCCCTATGGACTGCTCGGGATCCCAGCGCCAATGGACTGCGGGCCCCAGCGCCCAATGGACTGCTCGGGATCCCAGCGCCCGATGGACTGCTCGGGATCCGAGCGCCCAATAGACTGCTTGGGATCCCAGCGCCCGATGGACTGCTCGGGATCCCAGCGCCCAATGGACTGCTCGGGATCCGAGCGCCCGATGGACTGCTGGGATCCCAGCGCCCGATGGACTGCTCGGGATCCCAGCGCCCTATGGACTGCTCGGGGTCCCAGCGCCAAATGGACTGCGCGATCGCCCAGTGCCCAATGGACTGCTCGGGATCCACCCGCGCCCCCGATGGACTGCTCGGGATCCAGCGCCCAATGGACTGCTCGGGATCCCAGCGGCCCGATGGACTGCTCGGATCCCAGCGCCCAATGGACTGCTCGGGATCCAGCGCCCGATGGACTGCTCGGGATCCCAGCGCCCGATGGACTGCTCGGGATCCCAGCGCCCAATGGACTGCTCGGGATCCCACGCGCCGATGGACTGCTCGGGATCCGAGCGCCCATAGACTGCTGGGATCCCAGCCGATGGACTGCTCGGGATCCCAGCGCCCAATGGACTGCTCGG